TCCTCCCCCCGCACTTCCAGGGCCCCACAGGCCACCGCAGCGGCAGCAGCGGTTAGAGCCATTGGCAGCACTGGCAAGTAAGTTTTGTTGTCCTGTTTGGCTGGGCATCTCCCCTTTCCCAAGGAGATGATAGATCGCTAGGTTATATCTACCAGGAGTTTCTTTCCGTCCTTGCGGCAGCCTTTGGGCAGTATCTGAAATCTCAGTTAAACCTGTGTTGCTTGAATCCCGACTTGAAGCCCTAATCCCAACACCACAGAACAATTTATTCAGGTGAGGTTTTCCCCCTCGTCATAAAGCCCTTGTTATAAACTTTTTATATAAGTATATAAAACTGTTAAAGGTAAGCTCTGGTAACTCTGTGACCAGAAGCAGCCCTTGCTGTTACCCATCTCCAGGGACCAAGCGATGGCCAAAACAGGAGAGCGAGAAGTGGAATGGGACAGTAGAGGGGTGTAGAGAGGGTGGTCATGGAGATGGGAAGCACCAGCCTGAGTAGACCTCTAGGTTGTTCAGGTGCAGTGGGTCCGAACCCTGGCACAGCACAGGCCACTGGGTATTAATTATTAACATGTTAATTGCTGCCCTGATGCTGCAATAAGGTGGGGTGGGGGAACCATTTGGTGCAGGAGACCACACTTCCCTTTGCTGAGCAGCAGTTTTGCTCCCTGCACAGTCACCCTCAGGAGATGTCCTCACCACTTCTTCCCTCTCCAGGTCTCTGCCTCGTCCGACCCCCGTTCGGCCAGGGGTGAGGAGCTGCCGCCATCAGGCAAGGCGCGGGGGCTGAGGCGCAGTGGGCAGGCTGGCCCGCGGCGGCACAGGCGCCGTGGGGTGGCTCAGCAGGCTGCCAGGAGCCCAGCGGTGCCCCAGCCCAGCAGCGCTGGCCGGGAGGAGAGCCTGCCCTTCGTGCTGGACCTGCAGAGCTTGCCAGGGCTGGCCAACGTGGACCTGAGCGCTCAGAACCCCAACATCCAGGTGGGGACCAGATCTGGGTGGGCCATGGGGGGGATGTGGGTGAGCACCGCATGTGCTCCCCAGCCGTATTTGATTCCCTAAGAGGAAGGATCTCGTGAGCGGAGTCCATGTAGCCACTGCCCTCTGTCTTCTTGGTAACTACCAGATGCAAATAGCTGGCACACACAAACTCCTTGCCAGAGGAATTTGCTCATGGCCTTTTCCCTGCCCCAGCCCCTCTCCGTAGAGCAGGAGCAAATGCTCCTACAGGGGTAAACTCTCAATTTCTGAGGGTGATGTTGGACCCTGTGGGTGACCACCAGCCCCTCTGTACCTCCTGCTTTGCCCCTGCTCAGTCCCTCCAGATGAGGCGAGACCTCTTGCGCTCCTCGTGTGTAGCTCAAAGCATCTCTGGTCTCTTGGGCTGGGAACCAGTGCAAGGGCTGGTAGGTCTGTCACAGAGCTGTGCCTCGTATCTGGCTTCATATCTGCCCTCCAGGTGACCATCGAAGTGGTGGATGACCCTCAGGCTGAGATGGAGATGGACTTGTTGAAGGAGACAAGCAATGACTGGTCCCTGACATCCTCTGAGTGGTTGTCCCACAAGGACCTCTTCTGGCCCCTCTTCTGGGAATACACCGACCATGCTGAGGAGGAGGAGGAGGAGGAGGAGGAAGAGGAAGACAATCTGGATGTAGGGGACAGGGAGGAGGAAGAGGAGGATGATGAGGAGGAAGATTACACAGCAGAGTATGAGGAGGAGTCATCCATGCTCAGTGGAGTGGGAAGTGACTGGGATCAGCAGTGGCCTGGGCAGAAGAACTGGATCTTTAAGGAAAAATATAATTACGGTGAGTCCTTGGCTGCACGCAGCTGCCCTGCGGACCAGCACTGCCCTCCCCTGCCCTGCCTGACCCACAGCCCTGTCTCACTGCAGGGGAAACAGCCCTGCACTGGGGATTACAGCACGGTGGTGCTCAGCTCCTACTTAAAAAATAAGCAAGCGTGCCAAGGAGCAAGGCTAGCACCTAGCTGGGGCTACCAGTGGTCAGACACACCAGTGTCCCAGCGGGAATTGCCCTTGCATGTCATCAGACTGGAGCATGGACTCTAGTGAAGGCATGCTTAGAAGAGAAATAAGGTGTAAATGTTTAATGGCAAGTGCTGCTGCCGTCAGCTCAGGTCACTGTGGTGACACCAGTCCCAAAAGCCTTTGCCACAGACCTGGGCACCCCCTAGGAGAGGAGCTGCAGAGGGCTAGATGGCAGGTGCCAGTGGGCAGACAGGCCAGGGCACCGCAGCAGCTCCCTCCTGCAGCTTCCCAGCCACAAGCCTAAAACTAGTCAACCTTTGCTAATGCATGCTGCTTCAGCATCATGGCCAGTGCATCGAGCAGGTTTGGTGAGGATGGGGATGGGCAGCAATGCCTGTCTAGGTCAGTACGACCACGAGCAAAGCTGTGAGAATGAGACCCTTGGCTTGGGGACTGCTTCACTGGGGTGGCCAGTGAGAACAGGGTTGGCCCTTGGCATCATGTGGCTGGACACCTCCATATGCCCTGGTCAGCTCTGGCACTGCATCCCTGTAAATGATGTCCCAGGGACAGGGCAGAGCTGAGGGAGGTCCCAGATGGCTGCTGGCTCCCCTCCTGCTGTGGGTTTGCTGAGGTCCACCACCCTCTGCCTCTTCCCTGCCGTGCAGACTATGAAGATGAGGAGGAGTGGAGCCCATGGTCCCCTTGCAGCATCACCTGTGGCAGTGGCAACCAGAAGAGGACCCGGTCCTGTGGCTATGCCTGCACAGCAACGGAGTCGAGGACCTGCGACCTGCCGCGCTGCCCTGGTGAGCCCTCAGTCATACCAGTGCTTGGGCACTGTCCGGCCCCGACATGGGCTGGTCCCCTGCTGCTGTGGGTTTAGCATTGCTTGTGCTTCAAGAACTAGTTATGCTTAATGTGATCCGGGCTAATGACCACGGGGATTTGTTTCCACAAAGAAGCTCTGATGGGGCTTCATGGCTCCCCAGGCAGTTCCACGGTGCCCAAGGGTGGTAGAGCTGTTGTCTAGCTTAGTGTGCGACTCCTTGCACCTCTCTCACACTGGTAGCTCGAAATCTTCTCCTGAGGTGTATTTAGAGCCGTTTCCATCCACTGGGATTTGCATAACCTACAGCCTTGGGTGGGTCTGTCCTGCATGTCTTGCTGCTGGCCATCCCTTTTGGGCACAGGGCTGTGCCACCAAAGCAGTGGCGGGAGAGGGGGTGGAAGATAGGTGGTGTCTGGTGCCCTTATGGAGGGGAAAAGCCCACTGCTCCTCCTGGTGTTCAGCCTGGCTCTTTGGTTGTTCTTTTTTTTTTCCCCTCTCAAGGAGCAGAGGGGGAAATGGTCTTCCCCACAGAGGAGACGCCTTTCAAAAGTGACAACACCACAGAGCTGTTCAACTCAGGTCAGCCTCTGCCTCTGCCTCTGCCTTGCTCTGGGGGCTTTGGTGCCAGACCCCACGGGGGGTGTAGCTGGCTGGTGGGGAGGGCTCTGCTGAGGGCTCCCACATCTAGTGTCCAGACCTAAGTCACCCAAACCACTGCCCACGTGCAGGCTTCAAAAGTCATGCTGGGAAACCTGGTTCCTCCCACAGACCCGGTACAACACAGTCCTGCTTTACGGTGCGGTGGCTGAGGCCAGCCTGCCACATGCCTTCTCCCATGACAGGGTGCTGCCAGCCCAGACCCTGTAGCGATGGGTGCCCCGGGCAGACCCCTTGTGAGGGACAGCTCTGCCCCAGCACAAAACTCTTCCCCTCTGTCTCTGCTTCGGGGTCGGAGCTTGGCTGCAGCTCATCCCAGCAGCCTGGCTGCTCCTGCCTGGCGGTTGCAGGCTCCACTGGTGGTGCTGGCAAGGCTGTGGGCAAATGGCAGCTGGGTAAAGCGGGGTGCAGGGTGCGGGCTGCGTGTGCCCTCACCCTTTTGGTGCCCTCCCCCCTTCCAGAGGTGGACAGCTGTGAGAAGTGGCTGAACTGCAAGAGCGACTTCCTCACCAAGTACCTGAGCAAGGTGCTGACGGACCTGCCCAGCTGCCCCTGCTCCTACCCGCTGGAGGCTGTCTACAGTGCTGTCAACCTGCGGGATGAGCGGCAGGGCAAGAGCTTCCGATGGCGGGACGCTAGTGGCCCCAAGGAGCGCCTGGGCATCTACAAGCCGACGGCACGCCTCTGCCTGCGCTCCATGCTACC